TTCGTCAACCCACCTGGTCTTCCTAGACGTGCATCATTTTCAGTTCATATGGGGGCACCATGTAGGCTAGAGGGGCCCTGGTTTTGTAACCTAAAAAGACAGATGGCAGACTCCTTTGCTGCCCAGGAGCTCAACCACTATCTCCAGTTCCCAATTCTCCTCTTTGTCTGGGCCCCTGAGTCCCCTCCATGGCAGGCTCATCCCTTGCATATTCTCCCATGACTCCCTACCTCCTTCCCTCCCTGATCTGATCATAGACAAGGTGATCCAGGGCCAACTCCCAAGGTCCAAGGTTGGAACCCCATTTCCTTCACCTCTGGCCTCTGTCCCTGGGTTACTTTTCGGGTAACCTCTTAGGATTCCTGCTTATACCTTCTAGTTCTCCAGCCCCAAGACTGGAGAATTCTCTTAAATCTGAAGCTTAGCCACAGATTCCTGGCTGTGGACAACCTGTCTGACCAGACTTCCAAATGGGGCTCTGTTGATATTGCCTGCACCCCACCCACCTGTGAGGTTACCCCCTTCTTGCTTCTACATGTTTCACAGTCTGCTTCCACCAGAGCTGGGGACTGCCCCTGATAGTGACACCGGACCTCATCTTCCTGGCTGAGCATGTGGGATCAGGTTGGGCCAAAGGGTCACTGCCCGCAGCGCCCATACCACCCCAGTAGTGAAGTTGTGCTGGTTCAGACCCTCCCTGCAGGACTGTCCTGTGAGTAAATAAAGGGCCACGTTCAGACAAGTCCAGAGTGATGAGCCAACGGAGCAATAGCTCTTTACTTGTATCTTCCCAGCGCCCCGAGGGATCTACACATGGCACCAGCACACAGGAGGTGCTCAGTAAATAGTTACTGAACCATTTTGGCTGCAGATACTGTAGCCATTCTTACCTGGAAGTTGATTCAGAATTTCTGTGGGTGGGTGTGGTGGTGGCTGGAGGGATTTAGAAATTCTCCCCTCCTCCTACTGAGAATCACAAATGCCCCCATGTCCCCTTAGAGACATGTCCTCTTGGAATCACTGCACTAGAGTTTCTTTGGTAACTTTAGCACCGAGGTGACAAGCTCCAGATATGAGAAGGGGTAGATTCCTCTGTTTGCAACTTGCTGCTTTCTCCAGTATTATATGCTTTTATTCCTGTCAGCTGGGTTCCCTGCCTTTGGTCAGCAGATGGTTTTGGGGGACTGAGGTGTTTGTACCCTGAACTTGCCACAAGCTTGGGCTGGTTCTTAAGCCCCCAACATTGAGCCGAATTGGATTAGAGATTCAGCATCCCTCATCTTCCTCGCCTCAGACTTAAGCTGGCCTAGGAACTGAAGGGCAGTGGTCTTCAGAAGGGTTCCCTATTCCACTCTGCCAGAGGCTTGTGGAAGCCCCCCTGAGATGCAATGACCTCAGTGTCCAACTAAGGAGTGCCCAGTGCCAGCCAGTGGGACAGAAGGTCAAGCTTGGGAAGTCAGGGGTGCTGGCTCTAACACCTGCTAGGTCCTCCCCTTACCCACAGGGGCAGAGAGAATCAGGACACATTATCCCTGTTAATGCCCTGGTCTGGGAAGTGACAGGCACATAAGAGGTTCAACTCAGAAGAGAAGCCAGAAATCCTATGGCCCCGTGCGCCGCCCCCCCCCACACCCCAGGCTTTAAAGGGGCCACTCTGCGGCTTCTCCTGCAGCTGGGCTTTCTCCGGTGACCTCAGTCCTTCAGGGTTGTGCAAGTCTCTCTGCTTCCTCCCACACCCACATCCTACTCAGACCGGCAGGACCCTGACTCATGGCCACGTGATTGGGCAACCAGTTTTTGGAGACTGACCTTGGCAAGAGGAGCGGTGAGATGTGACTCAGGGCTGACTGGGAACAGCACCCATCAGGTGCGCACCCAGAAGGGTGTATGCATGAAATAAGAGACTACAGATTGTGTTTTCTTTTTCCTCTTACTCCTCTGACCCACCTCTCCCCCACCCTCTGGAGCCCAGGGCCACACATTGCTGCCCCCTTCTCCGCAGTGGTCAGATCTTCTACCCCGTCCCCACCCGGGCTGAAAATCATGTGTCCAGCTCTCCCCTTCTCTATTTCCTCACTTGGCCCCACCCTTCCTTACACTTCCTCTGTGCATCTCACCTCTTTCCAAGCCCTTCCTCTGCATACCCCACACTCTTCCATGTCTTCCTTACACGTCTCCTCTTGGCCTGCTCACAGGCACGCGGGCACACACTTTTCTGGTGCCCTGATTTATCAGTATTTCCTCTCAGGTAGCTGTTGGGTTGGAAGGGCGCTGACAAACTAGGTCACTCTACCTGGGGAAGAAAATCATTGTTGTGTGTTGCTATCATTCCCAGGAACATCTGCGTCCCCCAACTGTAAGAACCGAGAAAGCTCTGTGGTGGTAGGAGCTCCTTCATTGTTGATAGGTCAGTTGGGAGAAAGTCTGCGATTAGAGGAATCTTCCTCTATTCACCATCAAATCTGCCTTTGCATCAAGACAATTACCCAGATTCCCTAGAGAATTACCCAGATTCCCTGTACTCGGGCTCATCTCTCCACGCTTCTGAAACCCTGAGCTCAGAAATGCATGTGTTCAAACAGGGTGCTATTGCAATACTGGCTAATGTGTGTCTGAGGTCTGGTAAAATTCTCAGCATAGTCCCCCATCTGTTGAAACTGTTGTATGTCCAACTCTGTCTTTTCAGTCAGATGCTCTCAATCTGACTGTTTAACATATTGTGGTTGAGAAAAAGAAAATAAGGGGAAAAACAACACTGTTTTGTAAGCATAATAATATTTTAACATGAAGTTGACTAAGAAAATGCTATAAAACACATTAAATGGATATATACATAAATGTCCCAGAGAATCTGGTAATTTCTTAGAAATTAACTAAATGATTACTCTGTCATGAACTGTGAATATAATAGAGTTGCAGACAGAAAAACTGGAAATGTTTTTCTGGAATGTTTGGTATACACAAATGATCTGAACATATGTACCTAACTGTGTTACTAATATGATAGAAACACTGAAGAATTGCTAACATGTAATTTTTAGAACCGTTCTGCTTCCATTTTACCTGGGGGAAAAAACACGAGATTTTGTCAAAGGGTGACTTATACTGCAAGATTCCTGAATAGGACCTGAATGTGGAACTACGGCTGGGGTGCCTGAAGGCAGTGTGAGGCCCAGCACCTGGGTGCAACAGTGCCTGTGAACCCCACCCAAGAGTTCGGTTCAGTCTGTGCAGCAGGTTGTCAGTTTGAAGTTTTGTTGACATTTGTAATCTGATGTTTGGAAAAGTCAGAGACAATCATGCAAGACACCAAGAAGCCTGGAAACTACCCAGTTCAAGTTGTTGGGCCTGCAGTTGCCCAACTGCATGGCCCAGTGTATTTTCTGGGCCATTTTTGTTGCTTGGACTGGGATGTTAGAGGCAGTCAGTATGTGGATAAGAGTGCAGATTTTGGAGTCTTGCTTGGAATCAGCTTCTTATGTCTATTACTTGGTAGCTGTGTGAACTTGGGCAGGTTACTTAAGCATTCTGATCTGGATTTCCTTACTTGTGCAGCAAGATAATAATGAGGAGGAGAGGAACTAATATCACTGAAAGAGTACCCAGCATCTAGCAGGCACTTAACAAGCATTAGTTTTTTAAATTACTTTTACTATTTAAAAAAAGGTCTCAGAAATTACACTAGACTGCTAGTAAAGTCTATAACTGTGATATGATAATATGAGCTTAATTATTATTCTCATTTGTCTTCTTATTTGGTGGTAAAATAAGTCTGGAGGTATGAAGTCCAAAATCGGTAAGTGGAACCCATGATAGTCACTCTGTCCATCTGCTCTGCCATCCATAGGGCATGGCTTCCATCTCTGTGTTGTTCATGGTCTAGTGGATCTGCTGAAGATCCAGCCACCATATTAATGTTCCAGGCAAGAAGCAGAAGGATGTGTGGAAGAACAAAAAGAGAGAAGCAATCTCTAGCTGCCTGTTTCCCTTTAGCTTTTTTTTTCTGTGCACTGCAAGTACTGCTGCTGAAGCTGAAGCTCCAATACTGTGACCACCTGATGCAAAGAGCCAACTCATTGGAAAAGACCCTGATGCTGGGAAAGATTGAAGGCAGGAGGAGAAGGGGATGACAGAGGATGAGATGGTTGGATGGCATCACCGACTCAATGCACATGAGTTTGAGCAAATTCCCGGAGATAGTGAAGGCAGGGAAGCCTGGTGTGGTGCAGTCTGTGGGGTCACAAGAAGTCAGACATGACTGAGGAACTGAACCAAACTGCCTCCAAAATAGCTTCTACTCCCATCTCCTTAGCTAAAATAGTGTCACATAGCCATATGGTTTTAAAGAGGCTAAAAACATAGTCATTCTAAGTAATTAAAGTGGGGTTGCTTTACTCAGGAAGAAGGGGAGAGTAATACTGGTTGTGTAGACAAACAGTAGTTGTTGCCTAGTTATATCCAACACAATAAAGTCTTGATTAGTTATCTTCATATGTTGAGAATTTGGAAAAGTGTTGAGATGAAAAGTATCTGTAGATACATGAAGGCCACTAATGAAACTGTAATCAGGTGCAGAAATTAATAAGGCTCTTCAATACTTCATGAATTCTTTTGACAATTAATCTGCTGTTTGCTAATTGTTAAAAAAATTAACTGAGGGGAATTTTGGATTAACAGCCCCAGTAGAGCATCTCTTGCCTTTTCAATAAAATGTAAACCCATGGCAAGAAGTAATGATGGGAAAGCTTTTATCTACCCCAGAAATGAAACCTAATGGGCAGCACAAACCTAAAATTTCAAAGGAGTCTTTAACATAGACATTAGACAAGTGAAGGTTAAGACAGATCTTCATGTCATTTGGACCATGAAACAACATAGGTGAAAAACATAAGACTCTTCAGACTTCCCCATTGTTTACCTCTTGACTCAGAGACCCAGCTGACCCTCAACTGTGGGGTTACTGTGATGTAATAAAGGTTGATTCTCTTCCTATCTTCTTGTTACCTTTCTGTGTATATTAAAAGACACCACCACCACAGAAGTTGACTAGCAGTAAGTAGTGGGATTTTGTGTGTGTGTGAGTGTGTGTTGGGATACACTGGGGTGAGGGGCTGCCGTAGTACCTACCTTCAGGGGGATATAATCCTTACAAGTAAAGAGCTATTAGAGCTGGCATTGAGAGAAAGAACTCTGTTGGAACCAATCAGAACTGTAGCTTCTCAAGAATCACATTGGTTGAAGTGTGCTAGGTTTAAATGGATGAATACCCACTGGAAATCAGAACCAGGCCAGATGTATGTATGCCAACATGTCTCTCAGCCATGGAGTTTGACCTTCACACAAATAGAAATGGAGCCAGGGAAAATCTACACACATTATCTGTTGTTAAATACCAAGTTTAAACAGCATTTACCTTTAAAAATGATTTAAATATGATGGAGAGACAGGATGGCATCGACACTCTGGAGCCAGACTGTCTGTGTTCAAATCCTGACTCCAGCATTTATAGCTCTGTGACCTTGGGCAATTACCTAGCCTTGGTGTCTCAGCATTCACGTCTACAAAATGAGGATAGCAATGTTTCTTTCTTCACTGTTGTGAGGATTGCATGAGTCAGTATATGAGAAATGTTTAGGACAGTACATAGTAAGCACTCAATAAATGTGACCTATATTATAATGATGAAGATTATGCTTAAAGAGAAAAACAATTTAGTATAGAACTTGTAAGTAAATTATAGAAACAAGGGAAAGGAAATAGCTGGCTGAAGATTCAGAGGTCAAATATATCTTCAGAAATAATATACTGCAGGCTCTAAAAGAAAATTTCAGGAAGCTCTTTGGTATCTTCAGCAGGGTAAAAGAAGATGTGGTCTTTGCCAAACAGGACAGAAACCTGCAATGAGAGATAACAAAACTTTAAAATGTATGTTGAGCTAATGAACAGAAGTGATAACATAGAAGATTAAAGCAGGAATTTGTGGAGAACAAACTTGAGGAATTCTTCCAGAACACAGAGGAAAATAGAAAAGAAGTCATGTGGGAGAATATGATGGCTGTGGAGAACAGAAATTTGAGACATGACCTAGAAACAATTGACTCTGAAGCAGAGAACAGAACAAATGGGGCAGAATACTTCACTATGAAGTGAAAGAATATCTTCTGACTGCCAGAAAGAGAGACCTCTATGTTGATCAAAACAATTTGCTCCTCCTATACCAAATCAATGATAAGAGATTCACTAGTAGGCGCACCCCAGCAAAATTTTCAAAGCATCCAGGATGAGGAGGTATGCTGAAAAACTAGACTGGATATACACATCACCTTTGTAGTGTGAAACACTTAGACAAAAGCATGATAGTTTGTCAATGATATTATTATCTATCCAGAAAATTAAATGCTGTTAATACAGAAGTTGTAGAAAAGATTTTCCAGAATTTATAACTGAGTTTAGCACCATGATCATCTTTTAAGCTACTTTGCAAAAATAACAGTTTCTTATTTTCCAGCAGTAAGCAGTGTACTGGAGTGCTTGCCTGTCCTGGAGTGGGGGCTAGGAGGCTGTGTGACACTTTTCAGTCTCGCGGGACTATAGAACAAGGCGTGGATTCCAGAACCACCGAAAGGAAGTCTGATGAATGCACCTCCCTTTAGGTTGAGACCTCAAAGGGGTGTCTGTACCCTAGGAGTAAGGTTGAATTAGGCATAAATAGGCTTTCAGGGGGATTGCAACTGAGCTTAAGTATTCAGTTTCTGAAATTGGGTCAGGGTGATCCCATGTTACTAGCGCTTCCAGGCACAAGGCAAAAGGAAACTCATTCTAAGAAAAGAGATAACTAAAGGTTTAAGTCACTAAAAAGATGTAACAGTGCTAAATATGTATGCCTCTAATTTTATAAAATATTTTTAGTGGAATAATAACAAAAATACTATATGTACATCCAATGTTGTACAATGCAGATCACTGTGCCTAGAGAAAATATTTATCCAAATAAATTAAAATAACATATAATGCACATAATTATACAGATATTTATAACATAATACCCCTGGTGGCTCAGATGGTAAAGAATTTTCCTGTAATGTAGGAGACCTGGGTTTGATCCCTGGGTTGGGAAGATCCCCTGGAGAAGGGACTGGCTACCTACTCCAGTATTCTTGCCTGGAGAATCCCATGGACAGAGGAGCCTGCTGAGCTATAGTCCATGGAGTCACAAAGAGTTGGATATGACTGTGGAACTAACACTTTCATTATATTTATGTAAATTTATGTATTTAACATAAATAAATGTGTGAAACAAATATAATAAACAATACATATTAATATAAAATTAAATAATATAGCACATACAATTATATATGTATATGTAAACAAGAATAATGTGGGAGAAACTATTTTCAATATTTATTAAAAATTATAGTAATTAAGATTTTGTGGTATTGACTCGGAAAGAACAAACATTTCAATGGATATGAAACCTTGATTATGTCAAAGGTGGCATTGTATAGCAGTAGGAAAAGGGAAGTTTTTTCAGTGAATATTCTAGGATATTGGAATACCCATTAGGAAAAAGATGAAAATTAATTTCAGCCTCACACATACACAAAAATAAAATTTAGGAAAACTATCATTTTGAAGAAAGACAAAACAATAAAAAAAAGAGTATAAAAGAATATCTTCATGATCTCAGGATAAGGAATGACTTCTTAAACAGAACATAAATATTAACCATAAAGGAAAATTTTCATGTATATGAATACATTTAAATAAAAACTTCTGTTCATCAAAAATGACATGAAGAAAATAAAAAAGAAATAAATAGAGGGACAATATACAACATATTTGACTAACAAAGGGCTTATATTGCTTTGAATATATGTAGGATATAAAACAATACATATAAAGATCCAGGGTTCATAGGATCTTAGGGTATGTATAGCTTCAACTTTGGTAGATAATGATAACTGGTATCATTTGATATGATACCAGTTATCTAAAATTCTTAAGAGATATAAGTTTAGATAGAATAAGTTATCTAAAATAAATGCTAACAGTTATCTAAAATAAGGACTCCAAAATACAACAGCTGGAGTAAAAGTTACTAGGAAGGGGGCTACATTGTAAACCAAGCTTAGTTAGAAATCCTGAGATTAGGGGGGAAGCAACTAGAAAAGACCTGAGAGGCAATGAAGGGGAGATGATAGTGGCAGAGCATGAGATAAGAATGAAGAACTAATACAGTGTAAGGGAAATAAAGATTAAAAAGAAGTAAAGAGAAAATAGCAGATGTAGAAAACAAAGGAGATCCAAATAGGCAGAACTGATTTCCCTGAAAAAGAAAATCAAAACAGAAAATATTTAAGATAGAAGAAAATCAGGTGGTTTATTTCTTTTTTTAGATTGAACTATAGTTGGTGTATAATATTATATGTCACAGGAGTAAAATATAGTGATTCACAATTTTTAAAGGTTATATTCCATTTATAATTATTATAAAATATTGATCATTTTCTGTTTTACAATATATTTTTAAGCTTATATTGTACATAATAGTTTTTATAAATCCTCTTAATCCTCTACCCCTAGAGTGCCCCTCTTCCTTCTCCCCAGTAACCACTAGTTTGTTTTCTATATCAAACAGGTGGTTTCTAATGAAATTAAATATATCCTTACCATATGACACAGCAATTCTATCCACTCCTAGGTATTTACCAGAATAAATGAAAACATGTGTCCACATAAAGGCTTGTGTATGAATGCTCATAACAGATATAGGGGCTTGACAAAATAATCCTATACTTCATTCAAATAATAGATTTAAAGGTAATAAGGTTTTCAAAGTGATAATGGAAGAATTTTAACCATTAGTATTTTAAACATATTTTAAAACTACATTTTTCTAAAACAATATAGGTCAGTAGATTAGTAGAGCAAAATAGACAGCCTATAATGTGTATGTGTCTTGTTAAATTGAAATAAAGTTGACTTGGCAATATTATATTAGTTTCAGGTATACAACATAGTAATTTGATATTCTTATAGATTATATTCATTTAAAGTTATTTTAAGATATTACCTATATTCCCTGTCTTGTACAGTGCATCCTTACAACTTATCTATATGGTACTTAGTAGATTGTGCCTCGTAGTCCTCCTCCCGTTTTGCTCCTCTTTCATCCTCTCCCCACTGGTAAACACTAACTAGTTTGTCCTCTAAACCTGTGAGTCTGTTTCTGTTTTGTTAATTCTTTGCTTTATGTTTTAGATTCCAAAAATGTGTGACTACGTATAATATTTGTCATTCTCTGTCTTACTTCAATAAGCATAATGCCCTCCAGATCTATCCATGTTGTATAAATAGCAAAATTTCATTCTTTTTATGGCTGAGTAATATTCTGTTGTATAT